CCCCCCCCTAAAAAAAATGAATAAAATTTGCAAGCAAGACTTGTTTTCTTTTGCAAATAAAGGACAAACTTGAACTCCTACTGACTTACTGAGGGGAGGGGGACAGGGGGGTCATCCCCGTTAGCATCTCAGGAACTTGTTTGAAATATTACCCAAGTAAAATTAATAAAATTTACCAGAAAGTGTTATGTTTTTTTATATAAACTATGGCAAACTTGAACCACTCCCGAGGGTGAGTGGGGGTGGGGATTGGATATGTTATAAAGTAGTCTATAGGAGAAAAGACAGAAAAATACAAAGAGCTCATTAGCTTTGGGGTAAATATTGTATTAGTCAAGGATTCCCGTACCACTGCCTAAAACTGTAGTTAAGTATTGGAAACTTTTCCCCCGGCATAACAATAGCCTTGATAAATCTTTGTTTGAAATTGAAATGACTACCATAACCTTGTATGACTTTTTATGATATGTAATAAAGACGAAAACCCAAAAATAATAAAAAAAATAAATAAAAAAAAGTGTTCCGATTGTTAAAAAAAAGCCAGCGGTCCTAGACGGGGAATGATTAAAGGGAGGTTACTGTGTTTAGGAAAAGCCACAGTGCAGGGGGACATAGGTCCTAAAACATATTCCATGTCTTTTAAAAGCTGCAAAAGGCCGGACACAAGTTTTAACATGACTGAAGCCCTCAATAATGACAGATATTGTAAAAAAAAAGTGCAATACGGATGTTTATTAATACTGAAATCCAAACATGTTTCACTTAACTGTGCACTCTGCTGATTGAGCTATATAAACGTAGAGATCTTTATACCTATATTCACAATTAAATTATAGCTGAATGGCGTTATATTTTCTTGGATTTTAAGATTTAATAAAACTAAAGCAAACACATTTAATTTTCATAAAATATAAAAATTCCGATTTTCTTAAATCTATATTTTTTTTGGTTATTTTATGTCTTTTGTAATTAAAATAGTGACAAAATCATTTTTAAATGCATTATTACGTGAAAATAGCACAAATGACATATTTTAAAGACAATATACAGTGTAGGTCGATACAAATATTATAGGCACTTACAGCTATATTGCTCTATCGGCAGACTTTACTGGACCATTTAATGAAGAGAAGAGTGTTTGATACAGAAATAGAGGGAAATACTTATACGGGGTTTGAATAAGTAACAGCTACATAGAATAGATATAAAGGTTTTATGGTACAATAGTATTATATCTCTGATAAAGTAACATAGGTCTTTATAGCTACAATGTATATCGCTCTATTGACAGAGTGTATTCACAGGGACCAGAGAACTTGTTACAGTTGGTTTGCAGGCACCTATCCTGTTGTGTAGAGTAATATTAGACGTTTTAGGGGTTTAGATCAATTCTAAGTAAAATTGCCTCCCCGATTTGATGTAAACCCTTAAAAAGTTTAATAGTGTTCTCTACACAACAGAATAGGCCTATACAAACCAACTGTAGCAAGTTCTCGGGTCCCTGTGATTGTATTGGAGCTGTTATTGAATCAATGATATGTGGAATTGTTGTATAACCCTCTAAAACTTAAAATAAACAATAATCTTAATTAATTAAGTCTTTGGTTTATCAAATGTTCTTGCATCATGATCAAGTCATTTCACATTCTTATAATGGGCACTGTCTAAATGGGATAATGTATATTGATAAAAAATGTCTAAGCTTTTTAATGTTGCATGCCTTATTTTTTCTATCAATAAAAAAGCCAATAGAACCCAAGCATGTTTTGAATAAGTTGATACAAATTCTGTATATATGTATTATTCATGGTGCAAGGGAGATAACTCTGCATATTTTTATTAAGTACATATAATAATTCATGAAGCTAACAAGGCTATTGGCAAAGCAAGATTACTTTGAAGAGTGAGAACCTGTTTTGAATGGTGTACAGGTAAAATCACACTTGCTTTGCATGCTTTTTTCCAACCTCAGTCAGTTATTCTGGAGATTTGACACATTTTCTCACATTTTTCTCGATAATAGTGAATACGTGTACATGGGTGCTTCAGGAATGCATGTACAGGTAAGATTTTTTTCATTAATTTCAGTATTCATTGCAATTTTGCGCCATTCAAATTCTGAAATCAGAAATATTTTCGACAAACAATTTCTGCAAAGGTCATTATTGACATTGCAGCAACTTCCATATTTTTTTTTCATTTTGAGGAAAAGTTATGAGCCCATCTCATACTATATCCACCGACATGAGCTTGTATGAAATAACCTAACACAAACAGTGATTATCTGTCTGAATTATTATTTAAACATAAGTTATTTGAAGTTTTAAATTCCCTTTTCAGATAAAGCACACGCAAAATCAATGCTAATGTTCACAAGGTACCCCCTTTATGTATATATATATTCATTTATTTAATTTCGTAAATGTATAAAAAAAAAACTAATGCTAGTGTAGGAGATGAACAAAAGGGTATAAATCAACAAAATTGATAAACTATTTCCTCAGAAATTCAAATCATTGTCGTACGAACTACTGTTCTGATAAATTCAAACCTTGGTACGATACAAAAAAAAACCAATAACGATATCACTGTCGTCAACAGTATGCTACAGTTATATGTAAAAGCTCCCAAATTATCGTAAATGCACACAATAGGGGAAATAATACAGATACAGCAAATACACTTACCACGTTCAGCTCAGTCAGTCAGTTTTCTCGCAATGGTGTACTCGCGCCGAAATGTCAAATGTGACTATATATAGAGAGAGAGAATGTGCTTTCTTTGTCCGTCACCAACTCCGATTGGCTTTCCATGTTTTCGAACAATTTCATTGGTTAACGTGATCACGTGCGTAGCCTAAATTAATGCGCGTGATTTGTACTCAGTGTCCCGTGTTACATAATCATAATTCCTATCAAAGTATCTATATTATAATATCTAAATACAATAATCTTTAAATGAATTGTATTCCACTGCAATTCTTACTTTACGGACTGAGTTGTAAACGAATAAAATACACCTTGACACGGGGACTCTTTGGTGCCAAACAGGTATGCTTCCGCCATATACACGTGATATACAGCGATCGTCAAACCAGTCACGTAGCTAGCACGTGCGCTTATTGTACGTGTTTGTATGAATGACCTATCCTAGACGAGTAATTGTGTATATAATAACCATACTACTAATTAACTGACTGGGTAACAAAATCATTGAAAATACATGCAATATTTTGTTTTTTAATTATCCATATTAGAATGATATACTTTATAATATATATTATCACAATTCGTCATCGAATTGAAAAAAAAAGACTGGTTTCACAAGAACACTTTCCATGTTATCTAAAATGCACAACTGAGAAACGAATACTTAGATGTATTTTTTTATTATTTATTTATTCATTAATCACAGTCACAAGATTTGAGAACAGAGGGTTTGTTGTCTGTTGAATCTTATAAATTGTTCTAAATCCAAGCTTATATCTATGTACAGTAAAACCTCGATATAGCACCCCTCGTTTTATTTGTCACTTCGCTTACCGCCAACAAATTACAAGGCCCCTTTCAACGAAATTAGTGTGTAGTAATGATGTAAAAACAATACGTTATCTAGAAAAGTATTTATATTGTGCTACGAGAAAAACGTAGAAAAATCAATGTCTCATATGGAAAACTACTTGTGTACTTTGTAAGCTCACTCTCCACTTAATTGATTCAATTATATAATGATATCTTGTACATGTATCACATGATGTACTTGTTTGACATTTAACCTATGAGTCGAACGGCTCTCGGAAATAAAGAAAGTGAAACTGAAGCTCTCTGCAAGATCGTTGTATGTTTGTTTTATGTCTGTTACATATCTGTCTGTATGTCTATTGTGTGTCTGTATGTACGTCTGTTACATATCCGTATGTACGTCTGTTGTGTGTCTGTATGTACGTCTGTTACATGTATGTCTGTACGTCTGTTGTGTGGCTGAATGTATCTCTAATGTATGTCTGTCTGTGTGTCTGTTACATGTCTGCCTGTACGTCTGTTGTGTGGCTGTCTCTATGTCTGTTACATATCTGTCTGTACGTCTGTTGTGTGTCTGTATGTACGTCTGTTACTTATCTGTCTGTATGAACGTCTGTTGTGTGGCTGTATGTACGTCTGTTGTGTGGCTGTATGTACCTCTAATGTCTGTCTGTCTGTGTGTCTGTTACATGTCTGTCTGTACGTCTGTTGTGTGTCTGTATGTACATCTAATGTATGTCTGTCTGTGTGTCTGTTACATGTCTGTCTGTACGTCTGTTGTGTGTCTGTATGTATGTCTGTTGTGTGGCTGTATGTACATCTAATGTATGTCTGTCTGTGTGTCTGTTACATGTCTGTCTGTACGTCTGTTGTGTGGCTGTATGTACATCTAATGTTTGTCTGTCTGTGTGTCTGTTATATGTCTGTCTGTACGACTGTTGTGTGACTGTATGTACCTCTAATGTATGTCTGAAGGTGTGTGTCTGTCACATGTCTGTCTGTACGTCTGTTGTGTGGCTGTATGTACCTCTAATGTATGTCTGTCTGTAAGTCTGTTACATATCTGTCTGTACGTCTGTTGTGTGGCTGTCTCTTTGTCTGTTACATATCTGTCTGTTGTGTGGCTGAATGTACCTCTAATGTATGTCCGTCTGTGTGTCTGTTACATGTCTGTCTGTACGTCTGTTGTGTGTCTGTCTCTTTGTCTGTTACATATCTGTCTGTTGTGTGGCTGCATGTACCTTTAATGTGTGTCTGTCTGTGTGTCTGTTACATGTCTGTATGTACGTCTGTTGTGTGGCTGTCTCTATGTCTGTTACATATATGTCTGTACGTCTATTGTGTGTCTGTATATACGTCTGTTGTGTGGATGTATGTACCTCTAATGTATGTCTGTCTGTGAGTCTGTTACATGTCTGTCTGTACGTCTGTTGTGTGGCTGTCTCTATGTCTGTTACATATCTGTCTGTACGTCTATTGTGTGGCTGTATGTACGTCTGTTACTTATCTGTCTATACGTCTATTGTGTGGCTGTATGTACGTCTGTTGTGTGGCTGTATGTACCTCTAATGTATGTCTGTCTGTGTGTCTGTTTCACGTCTGTCTGTACGACTGTTGTGTGACTGTATGTACCTTTAATGTGTGTCTGTCTGTGTGTCTGTTACATGTCTGTCTGTGCGTCTGTTGTGTGGCTGTGTGTACCTCTAATGTATGTCTGTCTGTGTGTCTGTTGCATGTCTGTCTGTACGTCTGTTGTGTGTCTGTATGTACGTCTGTTACTTATCTGTCTGTACGTCTGTTGTTTGTCTGTATGTACGTCTGTTGTGTGGCCGTATGTACCTCTAATATATGTCTGTCTGTGCGTCTGTTACATGTCTGTCTGTACGTCTGTTGTGTGGCTGTATGTACCTCTAATGTGTGTCTGTCTCTGTGTCTGTTACATGTCTGTCTGTACGACTGTTGTGTGGCTTTATGTACCTCTAATGTATGTCTGTCTGTGTGTCTGTTACATGTCTGTCTGTACGTCTGTTGTGTGTTTGTATGTACGTCTGTTACATATCGGTCTGTATGTCTGTTGTGTGACTGTTTGTACCTCTAATGTATTGATGTATGTATGTCTGTTACATATCTGTCTGTACGTCTGTTATGTGGCCGTCTGTATGCCTGTTGCATATTTGTCTGTACGTCTGGTGTGTGGTTGTGCAAACATCTAATGTATTGAAGTCTGTATGTCTGTTACATGTCTGTCTGTACGTCTGTTGTGTGTTTGTATGTACGTCTGTTACATATCGGTCTGTATGTCTGTTGTGTGACTGTTTGTACCTCTAATGTATTGATGTATGTATGTCTGTTACATATCTGTCTGTACGTCTGTTATGTGGCCGTCTGTATGCCTGTTGCATATTTGTCTGTACGTCTGGTGTGTGGTTGTGAAAACATCTAATGTATTGATGTCTGTATGTGTGTTACATGTCTGTCTGTACGTCTGTTGTGTGTTTGTATGTACGTCTGTTACATATCGGTCTGTATGTCTGTTGTGTGACTGTTTGTACCTCTAATGTATTGATGTATGTATGTCTGTTACATATCTGTCTGTACGTCTATTGTGTGGCTGTATGTACCTCTAATGTGTGTCTGTCTGTGTGTCTGTTACATGTCTGTCTGTACGTCTGTTGTGTGTTTGTATGTACGTCTGTTACATATCGGTCTGTATGTCTGTTGTGTGACTGTTTGTACCTCTAATGTATTGATGTATGTATGTCTGTTACATATCTGTCTGTACGTCTGTTATGTGGCCGTCTTTATGCCTGTTGCATATTTGTCTGTACGTCTGGTGTGTGGTTGTACAAACATCTAATGTATTGATGTCTGTATGTCTTTTACATGTCTGTCTGTACGTCTGTTATGTGGCCGTCTTTATGCCTGTTGCATATTTGTCTGTACGTCTGGTGTGTGGTTGCGCAAACATCTAATGTATTGATGTCTGTATGTCTGTTACATGTCTGTCTGTACGTCTGTTATGTGGCCGTCTTTATGCCTGTTGCATATTTGTCTGTACGTCTGGTGTGTGGTTGCGCAAACATCTAATGTATTGATGTCTGTATGCCTGTTACATGTCTGTCTGTACGTCTGTTGTGTGGCTGTATGTACGTCGGTTACATATATGTCTGTATGTCTGTTGTATAGCTGTCTGTAAGTCTGTTACATGTCCGTCTGTACGTCTGTTGTATGGTTGTCTGTAAGTCTGTTACATATCTGTCTGTACGTCTTTAATGTGGCTGTCTGCACCTCTAATGTATGGCTGTCTATAAGTCCGTTAGAATATGTATGTATGTCTGTTGTGTGGCTTATGTACCTCTATACACGACTGTCTGTAACATATATGTCTGTACGTCTGTTGTGTGGCTGTCTGTACGTCTGCTACGTATCTGTCTGTACGGTTGTTGTGTGGCTGTCTGTATGTCTCTTACATATCTGCTGTGTGGCTGTTTATACCTCTAATGTGTGGCTGTCTGTATGTCTTCTGTATGGCTGTATGTACCTCTAATTTGTGGTTGTCTGTACATGTATGTCTGTTACATATCTGTCTGTAGTTATGTCGTCTGGCTGTCTGGCTGTACGTCTCTAACCCATCTGTCTGTACGTCTGTTGTGTATATGTCTGTACGTCTATTGTGTATCTGTATGTACATCTGTTATGTATCTGTCTGTGTGTCTGTTATATATCTGCACGTTTGTTCAGTATCTGAATGTCTGTTGTGTTTATGTCCGTACATATGCTGCGTATCTGTCGTTATGTCTGTTATGTTTGCACGTCTGTTCAAAGTCTGAACGTCTGATATCCATCTTTCTGTACGTCTGTTACTGATTGTACGTCTGTTGCATACCTGCAAATCTGTATGTCTATTGTTTGTCTGTACGTCTGTTGTGTATCTGTACGTCTGTTGTGTATCTGTAATGTCTGTTGTGTATCTGTACGTTTGTTGTACGTCTGTTGTGTATCTGTACGTCTGTTGTGTATCTGTACGTCTGTTGTTTATCTGTACGTCTGTTGTGTATCTGTATGTCTGTTGTGTATCTGTATGTCTGTTGTGTATCTGTATGTCTGTTGTGTATCTGTACGTCTGTTGTACGTGTGTTGTGTATCTGTACGTCTGTTGTGTATCTGTAATGTCTGTTGTGTATCTGTACGTCTGTTGTGTATCTGTATGTCTGTTGTTTATCTGTATGTCTGTTGTTTGTCTGTATGTCTGTTGTGTATCTGTATGTCTGTTGTGTATCTGTAAGTCTGTTGTTTATCTGTACGTCTGTTGTGTATCTGTATGTCTGTTGTTTATCTGTATGTCTGATGTGTATCTGTATGTCTGTTGTTTATCTGTACGTCTGTTGTACGTCTGTTGCGTATCTGTATGTCTGTTGTGTATCTGTATGTCTGTTGTTTGTCTGTACGTCTGTTGTTTATCTGTATGTCTGTTGTTTGTCTGTACGTCTGTTGTGTATCTGTACGTCTGTTGTCTATCTGTAATGTCTGTTGTGTATCTGTACGTCTGTTGTACGTCTGTTGTGTATATATACGTATATCGTGTATATGTACGTCTGTTGTGTAGCTGTATGTCTGTTGTGTATACCGACGTGTGTTGTGTATCTGTACGTGTGTTGTGTACCTGTCATTTGAAGATTACAAAGGAGCGACACTCGACTTCAAATCCTGTATTTTTTTACCGTTACGCGACCGCGAGATTCTTTTGATGTACATCAAAGGATCGAACTAGTCTTCTTGTCTCATCAACAAGGTGGCGCACACTGAGCCTTCAGTTTTGCTATGACATATTCCAGGGTAGTCCGAATTATTCTGACGTTTTATCGACTTTTTTTATATCGGTCTGTCGTCGATTAACGTCAGAACTTCGGCCCTCTATAGTATGCGGAAAATAAGCGACCCGCGCCTGGGTCGCTCTTCAAGCTGATATTTTAGAAACAAATCGTCACTTTCACACACATGTGGCACATGGATCGAAAGATCTATTCTTTATGCACTAGGTGGTATGAATAACATGTTTCAAAGATCATTACGAACAGTATTTTCCAACGTTTTCTATACCAACCCATGCTTTTAATGGAAATTAGGGCATTATCAATGTCACATGACTTGCCCAGATCTCGCGTTACCGAAGGTATTTCCCAACGTTATCACGTAGGCCGTCGAGATTTTAGTCACATGGCATTAGAAGGCGGGGCTATCAAAAACGCAAAGATAAACAGAGTAAGTTTGAAGAAATATGTTTTTAGGGATTGTATTGGTTGTTTGAGGCATGTCATTTATGTTCATCTTGTGCAGAAAGAATAGATGAACAGTTAATGTAGCATTAAAAATACGAAACAAAAACATATAGAAACATACAAAAATATTTATTTTTGTCTACAAAAGATCATTCTGTATATATGGCAATTTTGGCTCGTTATTATGTTGAAAGGTTAAGACGACTCTAGCATTATAGAAAGTTTCGTATGTACACTCATTCACCCTTTCATCATTGTTGACCATAATGGACTCATCCAGATCAATGCATAGAAGAGTTTACAAAAATAACATAGGGATGAAAAGGTTGATAAAAAATACCAAATAAAGTCTCTTTGCAAGGAAAATATTCGTTTTTATGTATTTGAATGTATAAAATGATTCGGCAACTAAATTATTATGACACTGCTACTACAAAATATATGTATACAGACAAATTATGGAAAATTGGAACAATCGTTTTTCATCATACCCTGTCAAACTACTTGATTCATTCTTCTTATACAATGTACCATAATAATTGGGTTTGTTTTAACATGAATAACACAACACCCTTAACAATTATCAACACTGTTTTTAAAACATGTTTATGGTGGACAAATTTGACGGACGTTTACACTATGAATCGCATGGTATTTGGTCCTGTATTTAGTACAGTTTAAACCATCTTTTATTCATATCAATAAACATGTACAACTACATAGACATTTCATTCAGATTATTGGGAAACAAGTACTGTTGTACTTATACATAGTCCTTCTTATCATATATAACAGGCTTTGCTGATGAAACATGTATAACTTTGCAGTGATAGCCTAGATATGTACATAAGAAACTGTTAAGAGAAAAAGATAGAACATGATATTAGGGATAAAAAAGTAACTGGTGGAGTCTTACCCGGCTGGATGGGGAGTTAAATTTACCTGTAGTTCAATTATAATTGCTTGTAAATCTTCTGGTTGATTTGATAAACTATTGAGTAGCTATAAAAATGTTTACATTTTGATCATACGTTTTTGATACATTAATTACCAAACAGTAATAAATCAACACTTAATTAATTGGTAAGGCAAAGGAGTCGAGTATCTTTGGCCTGATTCAATGTGATGAGTACAAGACAACCATTAATGGTAACTGTCTTCTTCAAAATGACCACATGAACATAAGGGATTGTCAACAAGATTTCTTTCAAAAAGATTCTTTAGTCCTTTATTTCAATTGGTATTTGAATGATACATTTTTTTAGTGTCTATATATTGGACGTGATCAAAGATTCTGAATATGCAGCCTATAGAGTGCTATTTCAATCAAAGTTCGATGAAGAATCCCAGGGCCAGTTTTTAGGAATAATATCATAATAACTTATGACAGGCTTCGAAGTCGAGTGTCGCTCCTTTGTAATCTTCAAATGACAGGTACACAACACACGTACATATTCCGTCTTTGCGTATTGCAGAGTTACCTTCTCTTGGGAACAGGTATTGATTGTTACGTCACTTGTTTGTGAGAATAACGTCATCAATTTTTGAGAAAACGACGTAATTTTCTCACACAGACCAATGACGTAACAATCAATACCTGCTCCAAAGAGAAGATAACACTGCAATACGCAAAGACGGAATACACAACTGATATACAGTTACACATTAGACGTACATATACACAATAGACGTATATATGCACAACAGTTATATTGGAAAGATGATTTTCAACTGTTGATTATAACTCTATGATTGGTTAAAAAAATGCATTTAATTTCACAATTGCAATATGGCCTCAGAGCTTATAACACATACTATAGTGACTTATTGCAATATTTCGTCCTTTGTTACATGTAGTTTTAGTCTGAAGTAAAACGGAGGGAGAGGGAATGTTTTTTTTTTACAGCAATGTCAGCTTGGTACATGTAGTAAGAATACAGTATCGTGGGTAGGAACGTATTGGTTTTTATTACATACTTACTAATAAATACGTTTTTTTTTGTATATGCGATACGACACAATTGCTCTAACCCATATCAGCCCTCGCCGTATCACACCCCAAAACCCGTATCAGCCCCCGCCGTGTCACACCCAAAAACCCGTATCAGCCCGCAAAACCCGCATCACACTACTTTTGGAATTTTTTCGTTTTTCAATATTTCATTTTTTTTTTTTTTTAAATCATAAGATGGTACATGTTGTTTTTATTAGTCAGTATGTAATAAACAGAATAAAACACGCCTTTTTCCATATCACACCCAGTATCAACCCTCGACCAATATCAGCCTAAGGCCCTTGGGCTGATATTGCAGTGTCGGGTTGATACTTGGTGTGATATGGGAAAAGCCATGCATTATTCTCTATATATCATTTTCAACAATTTTTGTATTCTTTTTTTACAACTTAGTCTTTAATATACAATACAAGATACAAAGTCAAAAATGTGAAATTCAAAATGCACAGCAATATACAGGCCTCAGACCACAAATACACTTCCGGGTCGTTGTACACGAATGTAATGCATAAGAACATTTCAGGTCAGTTATTCAACAATATCTTTTCTCATATTTTTTTTTTTTTGACACATATTTAAAGTACTTATTCAAACAAATTAGACAGCAATCATAATTTTTTGAATTTAGTATATATAATCATTTAAAAACCAGATTCATAACATTTTTTTAAAAGAACAGACAAAAGTAATAGCAGTGAAAAATTATATACAAAGCTGTGTTACAATAGATCAATCAATTCAACACATGCAATGTAACACAAATATTTCTGCTGTCATATTTAAATCTTGGTCATTAAAACAAAAATATTTTTCATATATATTTATCAAATTTAAAATTTACACTATGTAATGTAATAAGATTTGCAATGCTAACATGCTAACATCACAAAAATTCAGCATGACGTTTGCAAAACAAAAAGGAACAATACAACTTTATCTTGAGCGCAATCAAATTGTCTTGAACATTGTCCATTTGTCTGGAAAACAATCACTTTGTTCAAATTACATTATGTTCGTCATGAAAACGTACGTTTTGTTTTGATTTTTTATTGAATCTTAAACATAGAAACTTTGGCTTGAGCACGGTAACTTTGTCGAAAACACTGATAGACTGTCTTTGAACACAAATGCATTCTTTTGACCAATCACTTGCTCTTGAACACTGTTGATTTGTCCTGAACAAAATAAGTTTTTCTGTCTTAAAGCAGTCACATTTGCTTGACCACAATTACTTTGTCCAGAACGTAGGCATTTTGTCATGATAACGTTTGTCACTTTGTTACAAACATTGTCTTTGGCACGGTTACTTTGTCTTTTACACTCTTTGTCCGGATCAAAGACACTTTGTCCTGAACACAGATGTCTATCTTGAACCCGGTAACTTTGAATTGAGCACTGTCATTTTGTCGTGAATACGGTTATTCTGTCCTGAACACATTTTCGTCACTTCGTTTGAAAACGTCAATTTGTCTTGAGACTTGCCTTGAACTTGTTGTCGGTCTGGACTACAGAAATTGTCTTGATCATAATCGTCTTCTTCGTCTGAAACGTTCAATTTTCATTAGCACTATCATGAACTCATTATCTTTGTCCGACTAGACCATACGCATTTTCTTGAACATGGTCGTCACTTCGTTTGAAAACGTCAATTTGTCTTGAGCAACATACATGTATGTTTGGAACACACATAGTCTTTGCTTAGAACACCGTCAATCTGTTTTCAGCACCGTCATTATGTCTGGAACAAAGACGTTTGTCTTAAATATGATTACTTTCCCTTGAACAATGCCATGTACATGTAAACAGGTATTAAACTTCGTAGACCATTCTACTCCTATTGTGTAGCTTTATTCAATTAAAAAATATTAATCGTCAAAAATCAACACATCCACCAGACTTCATCTATTTTCCTAAGTCAATACCAATAAAACATAACAAAAATGGAATGAGGTTCTATGTTCCGGGGGAAAAAAATACCGGCTTTTTTTTTCGTGAACCGAAGTATCCATATTTCCAGTGCAAATTAATGACCAGCCGTAATGATTGTGAACATTACAAAAAAGTTATGACGTCACTACAGTGTACAGACAACCAATCAACTCTAGCGACACATCTTTGTTCGATTTTACATCCACATGTTTGACCATCATTATCATTGAAACTAAATATTAACAAACATTGAATCTGATACGTTCTCGATGAGAACACATATCTTTAGGATTAATACAATGGCATGGTGTTTTTCGGTCGACTAAAATGATAACGTCTTTGTGAAGTATAAGGTGTTTACTCGTCTTTTTCGAAATGTTCTTTCTCTCCCGATTCGACCGGGTTTTAGATATCAATATCACATGCTAAGGAGAAATGTAAACATTTGGACGGCTGTACACAACAATATGAAAAAAACATTGGTGTGCTTATCAAGACTGCATATCCAACGATAGGATTTAGTTTAAACATATTTATTGCCAAAAGTAGACAAGGGATTAGGCACAATTTATAACAATTTAACAACGTCTTCTCCCAAAAACGATAGGATACTAGTCATTAGATACACCTGTCATGAAGAACTTGAGATTTCAGCCATTCTCCTCCAAATTTACCAAAAGAAATACTTTGGCATTTTACAGATTTCACATCGAAAATATACATACCCCCAAGTGGTCTAACGAGTTGCCAAATCGGTTGGCTTTTGTTTTGGAAACTGGTATCTATAGGAAACCACGTATAAATAGGATTCTATATGCAGTCAGTATACAATTCCAGTCACACTCTCTATGCCATGTTGCCAATAACGTGGCTATCCTAACCTCCTTCTTAATAATATTGTGATAGTCTCATAGACGCAATTCACATTTCTTTATCGACCTTTCTTAAGTCTGTTTTTCTATGGCGCTATACTAGGCAAAGTCGAGTTAAGCAAGGACACGGTCGTATCTATAACAGAGATCGCTGCTGCGCCAGGACACGTCGACGCTTTGGTTGAATTTAAGAATATCTCCGGGAAAGTGTCCAGCTTGAATATAGCCGTGCCCCATGTGTTGATGGCGAGCGTCAGCACTCCTACTGCTATCATGTTCAGAACGATGCCCGCCAATGCCTATAACAGATAATGATCTCCATATTACAACATTGTATTTACATATTGATCTGGTTAAAATAAACCAATTTTCTGATGTATTTTATGTATGTTTATTGGAAAATGAACACATCTGAATCTAAAATAAACAAACCACTGTATTTGTCTTGAATGTAGTAATTGTGAGCAATGTAAACAAAGGAATATCGTTAACATGGAATATGTATAATGAATAGTGTGTCAACATTAAAGTTGTAAACAGTAGCATTGTTAGCTTGAAATCTGTAAACAGTATTACTGTAAATATGAACATTATTAGCAAAATACTAACATTGACAGAGTAAACATTGGTATGTTAACGTGAGAATAAGCAAATACTGTAAACATGTAGAAACATTAGTAGCAATAACTTGAAAGTAGCTGATCGAACATAATATGATCTGATTTATATTGTACGCAATACATTTATTTCTGATCGTTAACTTCGAAGCTCATATTTTCTGATTTTATTTCGGGAGGATTTGCAATTCACCAAGATACGTAAACTACTTTTGAAAAATATATATTTTATTATAATCACTCAATTCAATAATTACTGCATTCAAACAACTTTAAACATCAAATACTTCTAGGTTTATACTTTTTTTTATCATCCGGGATCATTATATTTCCATATAGAGTTATTTCCCCTTACCATATCCGGTATTCTCACAGTTCCTGTTGAGAACACAATAGCGTTTGGAGGCGTTGCGACCGGAAGCATGAAGGCAAATGAACATGCAATACAGGCCGACATCATCAAATACAGAGGGTGTATCCCCACAGTTATTGCCTGAAATAGGAAAACATGACCTAAGAATCAATATTTTATTGCGAAAAATAAAAGTAAACAACGTATATTTTATGTTTACTTTGTTTCTGTAACTTCGTTACCAATGTGTTGGGGGGAAAACATAAAAATCGTTTCATTTTCGTGACTACGTCATAAAAGATATGTTGTTTAAGCATTTCGTTTTGTTTTGTTTTATAATTGCTCGTTCGTTTGTTAACTTACTCGATTACTTATGTAGAGAAATCTTTACTAACGTATACATATTTTAAAACGCTTCTTTCCTGGATCGTCTGCTAGATAGCTGAACAACTCGGTAGTGGAGCGGACTGACGCAAAACCACTCAAACTAACAAAGAAACCTTCCATGGACTTCACGTCATATACTTTAAAACTTTTAAATTCCAGTTCATTTATTTGGTGTTTTTTTCCAAATCATGACCTGATAACTATATAACGTCACTAGCAAATTAAATACCGCTCCGCAGATTGCGTAAGTTGCAACTGATTTTCTATTTACTATACGAGTTTAATCAAACGGAGTTGGATGGTTTTCGTATAAATTTGTAACTTACGTAAACAGGCTGGGCCAACTTTATTACGAATGATGCCTTAGTTGCATGCTTTGTCAAATGTATCATACTGACCTGCTTTTGTATATCATTTTATTATCTGTCTTTGCTGAATCAAGATAAGTTACGAAGCGTTGAGACGCAAAGTGAAGTTAACTTCAGAACCAATCCTTAATTTGCAATACAAGTATCGTCTGAATTTCATGTATCCATATTTTTGTAATGTACACATTTTCAATGAATTATTAGAATTATTTTGCCGGTAAATTAAAATGGCATTCATATCAGCTATGAATATAAAGCACACGTTTTGACGTCTAATGGTGCTACATCTATCAATAAAATAAGAAAATGCAGACATGCACTGAATGTGTTGCCCATGTATATTTCTCTGGGACCGAGCCGAACCAAATAAGATTTTTGAAACTAAATATTCTGTCTTACATACTAAATACCATGTGAATATTTTTACATACCAGTTCAAACATGATGGGCATGAGGAGGGAGGCAGTAGCCGTGTTACTGGTGATCTCGGTAGCGCCTGCTACAATAAAACATAAAACCATATTCATCACCCAGGGATCCAGGCCCTTCAGCACCCTCAGCTCACATCCCACCAATCGGGATAGACCGGAAGTCTGGTAAATATAAAGATATATACATATATAGTGGTCACGTGATAAAAGATGTTTTTTTGATACATGTATATTTCAGAAATATCTACCGATTTTTTTTGCGGGGTTTCTCGCTTCAGCTATGGTCATCTGACGACAATGACAGAGCCACTAAAGGGACAACGGAGCCACTAAAGGACCAACGGAGCCACTAAAGGGACAACGAAGCCACTAAAGGGCCAACGGATCCACTAAAGGACCAACGGAGCCACTAAAGGGACAACGAAGCCACTAAAGGACCAACGGAACCACTAAGGGACAACGGAGCCACTTAAGGACCAACGATGCGACTCAATGGCCTGCTCAAGGGCCGACAGAGCTAATTATAAAGGGCCGGCGCAGCCACTAAAGGGCGGATTGAGCTACTAAAGGGCTAGCATCGCTGTTAAAGGGCCGATGGAGCTACTAAAGGTCAATGGCCGACAGAGCTACTAAAGGCCCGGCGCAGCCACTCAAAGACCGACAGAGCTACTTAAGGGCTTACGCCGCCATTAAAGGGCCGGCGCAGCAAATCAAGGGCCGACGGAGCTACTAAAGGACCGGCGGAGCCATTTAGGGATTGGCGTAGCCACTCAAGGGCCAATTGGGCCAATCAAGGGCCGATATAGCCATTCCATGACGACCATGGAACCACTCAAGGTCAACGAAGCCACAAACGTACCGACGGAGACCCTCAAAGGCGGACGCAGCCACTCAAAGACCATTTGAAAACGTTACATTATATATCACTGAAATCGCTTATGAGGTAACCAGCATCAAATCATCTATATTTGTAAGAAAGAAATTTTGCTTATGAAATGTTCAATAGAAACTGGCAACATATATGTCTACTTAAACGGCACGTTGTGTGGAAAACCACGTTACCAGCAAAATATCTGATACCTCTGCTGGCTGAATTAGCTATTGACTAGTCCGGACAGGTCGCCATTTTCAGTCTATCATGCGTTCTCATCGTTGTTCAGCATTATATGAGATCGAATACAACTTGTGCGTCTTAACCTTTTCAGTTGGGTGAACATAAAAAAACTTGCTGCACCCTTAAATTTCTATAAGGGATTTTCAACAAGTTCTATTTTCTTATTGAGATTTCATTATTGCGGAAGACGCACAGCATAACGATAGTTTTTTTGGTCTCGATTATTTCGTACATAGGGGTTTGTTGAAATAGTTTTCATAATATTCCATGCGAAATTCATATCATAATAGACGAAAACATATATTTCTACGTTAATCATGCAAATGTTCATTCACTTGACTTACGGTGCAAGCGTCGGCCAAAGCAAACCCTCCACCGAGCAGGACAAGAACGCCCCAAGCGACCTTCTTCTCGGCAACATGCCACGTGAGGATAGGCGTGTAACTTGGTCTGCTTGACTTCTCAGAGTCTGAAATAAACATGCAGTGAAACCCCGTTATACTGCCATCATTTGTCTCGCAAAGTAAAATCCCGTTATATACTGCCATCAGTTGTCTAGACAAGTAAAACTCCATTATGCTGCCATCATTTGTCTCGCAAAGTGAAACCCCGTTATATTTCCATCATTTGTCTCGCAAAGTGAAATCCCGTTATATACTGCCATCACTTGTCTCGCAAAGTGAACCCCCGTGATTCTGCCAGCATTTGTCTAACAAACTGAAACCTCTTCATACTGACACCATTTGTCTGATACGGTGAACCCCCGTTATACTGCCATCATTTGTCTAACAAAGTCAAACCCCGTTATACTGCCATAATTTGTCTAACAAAATTAAACCCCGTTATACTGCCATCATTGGCTAACCAAGTGAATCCCCGTGATTCTGCCAGCATTTGTCTAACAAACTGAAACTTCTTCATACTGCCACCATTTGTCTTATACGGTGAAACCCCGCTATAATGTCATTAATTGCCCGAGTTTTCGCGTTATATCGAGAAATATGTCTAGCAAATATTTGAAAGAGGACCTTTAGATAAACGGGGACATGCTATTGATTTGATTTAAAGAAAAAATAGTAACTTTACTTTACATACAAAAAGACTATATTATAAAGGAATGAAACTATTAGAGGTTATTATGACATTTTGTTCCTAATGTCTATAAGTTTTGCAAATGGTGTGCCCATGTACTGTACCGTTGCTAACTCTCAACTCTGAAAGGAGTTGTACAATAGCCTTTGAGTCGACACACCGATCATTTGTATTCTTTGATTGACAAAAAAATAGACGTTTTCGAAAGCTCGCAAGATAAGTTTTCAAACCCTGTTTGTGTTCAACACAAACTTAGCCTTTAATTATAAGAAATATCCCTTTTAACGACTTCTACATGTACATACATTTAAAGTAGTTTCTTTGGCAAAAAGAAATATACAAAATGTTTTTTTTCTATGTATGAATACATTTTCTGGGGATGAATAACTGTACCTGACGGGCCGTTCCAGCAGAATACGTTTGGTAACTTTTTCGGTAGTACAAACAGTAGGGTTGCAACAAGGATTGAAGCCGTGGAATCTCTCACTGTACTTTTCCTGCAACACATGTAGACAACCTGGTATACAGAAATGTTGGTTGCCATTTACTAATGCAATTTAATTTTTAAAATAGTCCTTTATTTATGCATTATTTTAAGGGAGTCGAAAATGAGACAAAAGCATCAAACTCGTTACCCCAGGGGTTACGCTAACTTTCGCTCTGTGCAGAGAGCGAAAGTGAGCGTAACCCCTGGGGTAACGAGGATGTTAACCAATATAATGATTCTTGACATATCTAGTCCCTTGTCCGCAAAAAAATACCAAGCCTGCTGTATTCCGTTGTATGATCATGTGAGGCGACCGATGTCATATGGGTTTGGAACCGTGCTGTCTTTGGTATCCTGAGTTTAAAACCAAAACTGCACTCCTGTTCTCATTTTCAATTATTTGAATCTTTATCGTATCCATTTATACGTTTTCCATGCGTCTCCCTCTAAGAACATTTTTTATATACACAATTTCTAAACAGTACCCGTTTTCAATAATCTAATTACTTTTCTTTAGATAACTGAATTATATAATAACTTATAACTTTTGGACCTGAAAAAGTGATAATAACCGAGACGAGACGACCATAGATAACTGACTTATATAATAACTTATGGACCTGATAAATCGATATTAACCGAGACGAGGTGATGTCCAGGTCAATATCACTGACTCAGGTCTATATAACTACTTATTCATCGTAATTGATAAATAGTGACTATGTACCACGTACCCGGCTGCATCAAGGAAAACATCTCCCCAGCCTCCGATGTCTGGTAGATCACGGAATAACCACAGTAGAGCGAGTATTATAAACATTACTAGGACCATGATCTCGCCGAACCTGTACACCGGCAACAACAAATTGTTACATAATTACAAACAAATATTTCATTAGATATCTCAAAATGTGTGATGAGTATCATTTTTTTCTGATTTTTTAGAATCGCTAAACCATTATGGCAGGCTCTGTAAGGTTCATCCAGGTCAAGATATTAAGCCTATAAAACGTCTGAAATCTAAACGAAAGTTGAAAGCGCTATTATAAATGTAATATTTATAATATAGCCAATATCACTTCTACATGTAGGTCACCCCTATTTGTCAGGTTAAGATACATATAGGTTCTTTACGAGTTGTTGTTGTTAATCATGTTTATCTAACTCGATTTAGATCATTCTCAAACTGTTTAAGGACATGAAGTTAACAGAGTTTGGAAACCCTTTCTCCCACAACGTTCAGATATCATAGCTAGAAAGTCATCAGTTACAGTTACAGTTATGATATTATATTTACATTTGCTCTACATTGCCACTTTATAACACTACCAATGCCAGTTCCGTGTTATGAGACCATAACACAGGCGTAGTGATATCTCCACGGGTCTAAATAACTACTAGCAAGCGGATAAGCAAAAAAACTCACTATGATTAAATAATATTCACCGTTTTATGTAAGACAATAATAAAATCTGGATTGAATATATTGATTGATTAAATTATTGAAATAGCATCGATCTTTCTGTGTTATTTCCACGAGCTATGTTTGTTTACAGGAAAAGTCACGCGACAACGTTCTGTGAGCAATTCCATGGGCTGTTCCACCTCTTGAACAAACACCGCGAAATTCGAATTTAAACATGTGTTAACGTTGTGAACTTAGAAATGAAAATTTAAAAAAAAAAGTAAATACATACATAAAACAGCATTTTGTTGCGTGTTATAGTCCTATAACACGGACCAGAATGCTGTTTAATGCTTAAATAACAAATAACTTAAAGACGACCACAATGGGTTCATATCATTCATAGGTGTTATGAATGCCATCTTAATTAAAAAGGGTTTTACGACGACTAATTAGTCTAAATCATTATTTCAGACGATAGAAGAATCTTGAACAGCGCTAATGGTATAAATACGCATACTATCAATATGATATCGTTTCCTAGAAATTAATCAATTTAAAAAAAAATGACCATACTTAATATGTCCAAGTTTATTGTACTCCCGGCGAACCACGGCCTTCAGCTCTGCTTGTCTATTCTTATCAGCCGCCTTACAGCACCTTAAATAAATGTAACAAAGGTCATTATTTGAATCGATGCCTCCGCTAGGAGTCGAACCCGAGACCTCTGGTTTACTAGTCTGACGCTCTACCTAATGAGCTACAGAGATATTCTCTCTAACCGAGTGGGTAGGAAGCGGCTAGAATTTCACAAGGGTGACAAAAATAATGTTGATTACGTCGGCGTTAATTGGGGTCAAATAACCGGAGCATCAACAAAAATAATATTTTCACTGTCTATGATTTTAGTTAATTATGCTTCATAATGATCGATAAAGGATGTGTAACTTAAACTTAAACAATATAACTGATTCGGTGATCATATTAGCAGTGTGAAATCATAGGGACATGATAATTTGTTACAGCGATACGTTTAGGGGTTTAGATCAACTTTTGGTAAAAAAAAAAAAACACATTGGTGGTAGTATTTTTTTTATCGAAAACTGTTCTAATCCACTTAAACGTATACAATTACTCTGAACATATTTGAACAGTATAAGTCCAAATATAGCTGCAACAAGTTCCCAGGTCCCTGTGTGTGAAATGTCAACTTTCAGCTATAGCTATTGGACATGTACGTACCAACACCTAATGAAAACGATCTGGAGCCAGAACCATGTAAGGAACAACATGATGAGTGACATAGGGAAAGCGAACGCCATCCAGTTGGCGTACGTTATTCCGGAGTCGACAGCTCCGTAGTCTTGGTAACGTCTACAAAAAAAGAGGTAAGGATGTTAACTGTTTAGAGGACACACACCCTTAAAAAATATAAACTTTCTTCACATACAGTTAATCTAACTTATATTTACATGTATCTCTCTTGTTGGTCCGGATGTAAGCGCGCAGGGGTCTCAATGTGGGAGGAATCTCAATGTGGGAGGAAACCGGAGTACCCGGAGAAAACCCACGTACACTATCCACCTCGCCCCCTAACACCCGACATACACTATAATATTATATAGCAAAACCAGTACTGACAAATAATTAATCAAATAATTAAATAAAGTTATACTTGAATTGTTTTGTTGTTCAAAGTCTGTCTAATTAAAATAAGACAGACTGGTTGGGTGGCACAGTAGATAGTTGACTCAGCTTCCATCAAAGCGGCCAGATTCTCTGATCGATCCGGAAAAAGTATGGAGTCACCTGCCCGACCAGGTGGATTTTTCCGGGTCTTCCGGTTTCCTCTCGTGACGTAATGCAACTTGTCTGACAGGGGATTCCCTAAGGAAAGACAGAGATATCTTTACCTGACCGGAAGTGTAGATATCACTGTCCAATCTGGGAGAAATGCCTGTCGCCATGTACACTAAGCGAACTTTACTTACTTGTCAGCCTGTCCCTGAAGAACGAGGTTGGGAGGCGTGCCAGTAAGCGTTGTGATTCCCCCGACGTTCGCTGCGTATGCCACGCTCAGAGTAAATCCTTTATTCAGAAGCACACTTCCTTTACTGGGTTTGCTGTGGGGAAAAATCATAAAAACACCATAATATAAATATACATGTTTGCATGACATAAACATCCCATAATATCAAACATTTGTTTAAGGATGCCTGCCCTGTCGCAGGCTCTGAAACACTAGAGAGTGTAATTTTTTCGTTATATACAGCAATCTGACCTTAGTTTCGTTTCGTTGAAGCGCAAAAGGGCCAGGCACTCTGTTGAGCAGGAAAGCTCAATTGGTTAAAGAGTAATGCATATTTATCACATACCTGTTGAATGTTGTTATAGTAATACAAGCAATACGGAATGTTATATTTACCTACTAGCCGGAACTAATTTTTTTTTTGGTAATCCCCTCGTCATGGCGAACTGAAAAGTTCCCGGTATTTGCAAAAAAATATCAAAGTTTATAAATTCTTTGTATCGATCTCTACCAAATATCAGAAAACACGAGTTTATTGCGCGGAAGTATATCTACTCGGAAAATTCATAAACGTCCTGAAATGCATAGATTTGGTTTCGGAAATGATTCGTCATTGCTACTGTTTATTCATGCTTAAAAGATCAGTTTCTAATACATAGTTGCAGGTTTAAGTAGTGATTCTTGGATCCTTAACATTTCAGCATAGTTGAGGTACGATAATACAATTCCTCCCAGAGCATTATAATAACACAGTTACTATAACAGTTTATTACATACCTACTAATAAATACGGGTTTTTTGTATATGCGATACGACACAATTGCTCTAACCCATATCAGCCCTCGCCGTATTACACCCCAAAACCCGTATCAGCCCCCGCCGTATCACACCCCAAAACCCGTATCAGCCCGCAAAACCCATATCACACCCCTTTTGGAAAAAAACTCGTTTTTCAATATTTCAAAAATAAAAAAAAATCATAAGATATAAGTTTTTATTAGCAAGCATGTAATAAACAGAATAAAACACGCCTTTTTCCATATCACACCCAGTATCAACCCGCGACCAATATCAGCCCAAGGGCCGAAGGCCCGAGGGCTGATATTGCAGTCTCGGGTTGATACTGGGTGTGATATGGAAAAAGGCATGTATTATTCTCTATATATCATCCTCGTGTGCAATATATTCCAACTATTATTTTCCTACCGAATATTATACTATTTCAAAAAAGATTTTTTTTATTGAATTTTATTTTCATTGAATATTTAAACAGAAAAGTATGCGAAATTTATTAACTATAAAAAGAGAATTCCAATTTTGAACATGTTATTTTGCATAGTTCTAAAACAAGTTTTTTTCACACTTGCTTTAAAGTTGGCTACCAATACTATCTTTCAACATTAGGACATCATAAAATATTTTTTGTTTGAGGAGTCAGACAAGGATATCTTTCCTTGCTTTATTTGATTATAGTTAAAGATATGAAATGATGGGATATTCCTTCTTATTTAGTTTTATGAATGGACAAAAGACAGAATGAAATAATAATCAAGTATTTCATTAGTAGATAATGTTGTTGTTTTTATACCTGCATATATTTGTTTATAACACAATTTTCAAGTAGTTCTCCAGAGAAACGATTACATTTGCAGAATACATATACAGTATGTGAGTTAAAACTGCTGCACATAACTTCAAAACATGCATAATATAAGTGTATTAGTATGACACAAAAAACATTGAATATATCGGTATTTACCATATTTAACATAGGTAATAAAAAAAAATATGATTTGTGCATTGGTCATGTTTAACATGCTAAAACATATATAACCGGTTTTGATATTACGAAAAAAAAAAGAAAAGAAAAAGATTCTGTAGACAGAATATACAATGTATATATGGAAAGTTTTAGAAGAACAATGCATTATAGACTACCATTGTACCTACATGTATATATAGGCAAGTTCACAATGGTGATATATTTTAAATTTTGTGAAAATTAGCACATACACTTCAAAATGGCATATTAAGCATAAAAATAACAGTAAATTTAATCACTATACACAATCAAAATTAATTTTCGAAATTATATAAGACTGTGACATTTTTTTGTCATTTTGTTGGGATACCCCCGTCACTCAACCATGCAAGGAGGTCCACTACAGTTATCAGTAGTAATAATGAATACTCCTATATGCAATTATTGTTCATTTTTATGTTTCTATATACATTGAGAAATAATAAAAGAAATGGAATTGGCGGCCGAATGTTGACCCCCATCTATTTAAACCGACAACAAGAAAACTGTATTCAAACGTTCACTTCTCCGATCTTTGTTACCGAAGAAGATTCCTCTTATTTTGTTCGGTTGCAGGTAGAGAACAAATTAAATCGTGTTTAGCAGGAACTTCTCTGCAAGCTGAACAAAACGAGATGTGGAAATTGCGGAAATGGATTACAATATTAATTATACATTGTAAGAGAGGTATACTGCAAGGGTCACCTGCTCGCCCCTACCTTTTCTCGCCTTTGTACTGCAGAGGGGGTTCCACTTTTGAATTTCCATGTTCTACTTCTGTTAATTGAATATCTTGAACATCAGTGGTACCATTTGATTTGACTGAAAAAATACATGATTTTTTTTAGAGGAATACTGTAAATTACCATATCATCGCGAGAGAGTAACTTTGACGCTAATTCGCCCAAGTATAATTCTAGAATTTATATATCAAGGTTTATTCCCTACATAATGGGTTCTTATAACCACTTCATTTATTCGAAAATAGAAACATTCACGAGATTAAACATTCCTTTAACATTAATCTAAAGATAATTATTTTCAATATTAAAAAAGCATCCCCTAAATCACGAATATAAAACAAATCTGAAAAAGGTCCTATTTCACAGAGTAATTACACAAAATACTAAATTGATTTCAGCTATAGCCATTCAGGGGAGATAAGAAATGAAGATTCAACGCAATTCCACCACATATTGTTGCTTTTGTTTTGTGTTGGGGATGGTGATCATTGTTTTTGTATTTGTTTTTGCATAGTTTTAATACATAAATGCAAGACTGGACATAAAAAAAGCATGTTGGTTCATGTAATATTTTCCAACAAATCATGCACGGGCAACGCTCTTCAAAAAGCCTCCCCCTAATTTCAAATATAAACAAGACAGTGGTTCCTTTCTTGAACAAATTGGCATGGAGGAGTGAGGAAGCACGCGTGCATGTGCATATCTAATCGTACCCATATAAACCACTCTTTGACTGCAAGAACAGGGAAATCGGCTGTGTACTGATCATAGGGGACATGCAAAGGAGGTATCACGCAAAAGAACAGCATGATTTAAAAAAAAGATTGATCAGTGTCACATTGCCTTAAATGGAGTAAACAGGAAGGTAAACACTTACCTTACTATGTAGCAGAATAGACATAATCATCACATGTTATTTTTATTATGATTAAAGGTATTGTTGCCGAAGCGACTTCTCCCTGTTTCAATTATAACATAATCTAGTAGTGCCCAGTATACCAAGGGAGACTACCGCCTGCTTCTACGTCACGCGACTGCGAAAGTGCGTTTCTGTTAAGGGTGGGTGATACTTCAAAGAAATGTAACAGAAGGTTTCAACTATTTACAGAATACTTGTGGTTTTCCTGTCCATAGTGACATACTTTATGGAATGACCCTCGTACAAAGTTAGCATTGTGATCATCACTTCCCAACCGACCACCAGTTATACGCTCACATACATGTATTTGCTCCGTCACCTTCACTGTCGCCCCCAAACTTCGTCGTCTGCTCGGAGACAGCTATCAGGATGGGAAGCATCATGGACGTAGCTGCTGTGTTACTGATCCACATGGACAGGAACCACGTAGGGAGCATCAGACCCAGCATCATTCTGGCGGGAAAAGATACGTAACTTATTTCGACCAAGAGGGAATACATTCTTTAAGATACTGTATAAATCATTTGGAAATCAAAGGTCTCGGCATCAAATCGTCGGGAAAGAACAGGAATCTTGCATGGAGTATTAAATCAAGCATACAATTAGAGGGAGCGGTTATATGTATGTTGAAGACTGTGGGCAAGATCAAAATAACATTTAATACAGAGGGAAAGAACGATATGTGTTACATGTATGTTAATAGGTTAGGAAATACATATATTGTATATACATTACATTTGTTTGTTACGGAAAGGAAGTTAGTAAATTGTAATAACTTTTTTTCCAATCCATTTGTCTTTTATTTGCAACAAAACTTATTTAAACTAATGGGAAACACATATGTCCTAAAATGTAGCAGCAATCATCCTCTATTCTCCAATGGTAACGCTCACTTACGTTATCTTCACCCCTGGAATATGTCATGACAAAATCGAAGGCCCAGTTTGCGCCACCTTGTGGATAACGCAGGAAGACTACATCGATTCTATGAACAATATCAAAAGAATCTCACGATCGCCTAACGGTTGCATTGATTGTCTTTGAAGTCGTCTGGTTTTGAAGTCGGATGTCGCTCTTATATAATCTTTAAATGACAGAGATAAGCCTAGTGATTGGTCAGTTTTTATCACCCGAAACCAATTAAATTACTAGCCGCGTGCCTTTAATTTTACTATGATACATTCTAGTGGTGCAGAGAGCGTAAGTGAGTGTATCGCATCCTCGATGTTTTAGGGGTAACGCTCACCTTCGCTCTCTACACCCCTGGAATATGTCATAGCAAAATCAAAGGCACGAAGATAGCTGTTTGATTGGTCTCGGGTAAAAAAAACCTGACCAATCGCCAGGCTGATCTCTGTCCTTTGAAGATAGCGAAGGAGCGACACTCGACTTCAAAGTCTTCAGTTACCGTTACACGACTGAGAGATTCACAGGCGTGAACTAGTCTTCTTGTCTCATTAATAAGGTGGTGCACACTGAGCCTACAATTTTGCTATGACATATTCCGGGGGTGCAGAGAGCGAAAGTGAGCGTTACCCCTGGGTATCGAGGATGGTAATATCGAGGATGAGCAGCAGTATGGATTTCGATATGTCTCACTCACGTGTTTGGACTTGAGCCCAAAAGAATAGTGATTCCCATGGCTATACGTCTGTGAAGGTTGACCTCCTCCATAGCAACGCCCACTATCAGTCCCCCTAGAAACAGCATACTGGTGTCCTGGTAAAGTATAATTAATAATAATTTCAATATATTAGAGTATGCACTGCTTTTGTTCTATCTATACTGAAATTAAATATTTTTTTAGCTATTTTCCAATTTATTTATACCAAATCGGTGCATTTATCTAAAATATATTATACTACATGGTAGACATTATTTTTGCACGGTCGCCAGATTGTCACGTAAAAATTTTCTAAATGGATGTTGATTTCAAGTTTTCAGTTGCCATAATCGCATTGTTCATTTTCCGTCTGTCTTTCTATATGGAAGAGCGATCTCTCTTTTGTGCGAAGATTTAGAATAACTAGTGGAGCATATTTCATCTTAAATGAGACATTTCAAATCACAAACGTCATCAAAACTTCATCTGAACTTATAGAACTGTCAAAGGACATTGGTTTGTTAATCAATATGTCAACAAAAGGTCCAGATGGCCTGTATCACTCACCTGGATAATAAGGCAACCATGGAAAATTATTCTTGTAACATGTCATACTGCAACTATTTCCAAATACTTGTTCTTACGTTTGGCATCATCCTTCCATCATAAGGTCCCATCTTTCTGCCACCGTGAATTGGGGAGGATTTCAAACAATTATCTCAAGTGGGCCCGCCTTCTGTCATTTTTAACTATGTTTCCGCTACTAGACCCTTCCCCATTTGCTCCAATGGGTACTAGATTCTCTGTTAAAAAATATTGAGTCCCCCTTGCGAAGTTATGCTCGGGACCAAATTTGGTGAAAATAACTCCAATCATACTAAAGGAGAAGTATAGGTATTAACCACAATTTATCCTATGACCCAATCCCCCACTCCCCAAGCCACACCCTCTGTTTATACAAAATTGACTTGCCTTTGTCAAAAATGCTCTGGGCATAATTTGCTCAAAATACCTTCAATGGTACATGGAAGGATCTACCACGATTAAGTTCCCCTATTGGACCCCGCTCAAAAAAATTGAATCCCCTTTACTGAACGATACATTTGGTTACAACTTCTCCAATCAAACTGAAGGAGAAGGATTTTCATTATGTAACTGATTTCCCCTATTGGACCCCATTACTCTGCCCCAAGGGGACCACAACCTCTGGTTAAACCATTGAGTCCCCTTTACTCAAGGATGCTTCAGGCCAAATTTGGATAAAACCCCACTTATGGCAAAGAAGAAAAAGGATTTAAAAATTTAAATCTCAAATCCCCATTTTGAGTCCCGCCCCACTGTTCCGAAGGGGGCCACACCCTCCATATTGCGTTCCGCAACACTGCACCAAGATGTTTCACACACCTATCGTTATTAAACAAACAGTAGAATCTTCTTGCTCAAAGACAATCAAGACCAAATTAGGATAAATTCCCTTAATCGTATGGTAGGGGAAGGATCTTAAAGGTTAACCTCTATTTCCCCTATGGGGCCCGCCCCTCTGCTCCCAGGGAGGGGGGGGGGGCACGCCAATTGTTTATACAAAATTGAATGCCCTTGGCCCAAGGATGCTCCAGACTGAATAAGGATAAAATCCCTTTATCCCTACGGTAGACGACGGATTTTAAAGGTGTTACCTCTTCTTCCTCTATTGGGCCACGCTCCGTTGCCCCACGGGGCCACATCAACCGTTTATACAAAACTGAATGCCCTTGACCAGGCTAAATGTAATCAAAATATACTGTGCCGTTCAGGGCTAATAGCGTTTTAAAGGAAACGTTGACGGACAATGATATTATTAACTTCCTGGTGTCTATGCTAACTTGTATTCTAGTAAGAATAAACGTTCGCTTAATGAGAGCCGCAGTGGACGAGTGGTCAAGGCGTCTGACCGTCTTCGATCTATATCAATCACTAGCCCTCCACCACTGGGTCGCGGGTTAAATTCCTACATCTGGAAGTCGCAAGGTACTGTCCGCAGGTCGGTAGATTTTCTCTGGAAACTCTGGATTCTCCATAAGCAAAACCTGTCACGTGTTTACATGACCTTAGCTATTGATAAGACGCAAAATACAAACAAACCAAATTACCCATTGAATCTCGTACAAAACTCACGCTGGCAGCACGCTGGATGAAGGATAATGGCGTCATATTGATGAAATACCATATGCCTCCTTGTCAGATCAAACACATATTGCACAACTTCCCATGACTACCAGCACTATGTGGTGTTAACAATAAACAACTTTATCGTGTCGTACTCACATTGAAGTAGTTTCCACAGACCACCTTTCCGGGCTGGACAGCCAGTAAGGGCAGGAGAAACATCGGCATCATGGCTGTGGCAGTGATAGGTAACGCCTCTGTAAACCATAGGATCGCCATGGAAACCATGACGTAGGCACATTTTGACTCCTGAAAGACAACGAAATCGAAGTTAATGACGATTAACTAAGCAGTACATACAAGTTCCAATAGAGACGGCAGCCGTAATCGAAGTCCCCAAAACGACACCCGCAGTCAAAATAATGCTAATTGAAGTCAATGTACCGTTCGCTCTGACATAAAATGCTACATGATAATTTCGACAAATCAAAGCCAGAGCCGACCATCTTTGATACGCAGTGGCCAAAAAAGGGGTGTGCCATCGTAGTTGTTGTTGATGATGATGATGATGATGATGATGAAAGGGTATGGAGGGCCAGAAATTAAGTTATCATGCTAAAATTTGAATGACGTGCTCAACGCCAATGTTTTGGTCTCAAGATAAACTCCTTGAAATATGTATTTTGTCAGTGACTTGGAAGAATTTGGGAGAAACTAACAGCCAAATGCTATTGCTAATGTCTGAATCTGACTTTTTGACCATGTTACATGAGTTTAAATGTTAACAGAAATTTGGCTTGAGCACACAATTCATGCTTAAGCATGAGACCGGTTTCCGGAATATGAACCCTGGTGCCTACATGTTTTAAAGTATTCCAACACATTGTCGTTAAACATAGGTTACATCCACAACCAACATGTACCGTATTCCTGATCTGACCAGAAAAGAAGCAGGAATGGGAAGATGTATGGTATCAGAAAACGGATCTTTACATAAGGATTGAATGGCTTTTTTTCTAATTCCTTGCCGGCATGAACTAAATCGGTCAAATACAAATCACATAAATCCTAGTATGTATGTTTCCTTATATTTTCGATATCAAAGCGTCCGTGTCGCCAGTGCAAACAAGTCCTGGAACAGCCTAACGTCACCAAAAGTTTTGCTCCTAACAGTTGTCTCTTTTTATTTGAGGCGGAAGGAGAAGCTTCAAAATGACGCTGATCAATTTGCGTTCAAAGCTTTTTTATGAACGCTTTTTCTTCTGGCAATACTTATAGATGAATTGCAGTAGAAAGGTAAATATAAGAAAATGAATACAAATTTTTTTTTGAACTCAAACAGTAATTGAAAACATATTTTGCGAGATTTCGGAAACAACTGTTTCCTTTGAGAAGCACTCATACTGAACCGGCTAATCTCATTCCAAATTCAAGATATTTTGGATTTGGATTCTCGATAAATCTTTTTCATTCCGAAGCTTTGATATAGGTAAAATCATATCGCTAATAGGCTGCCGTACTTTTTCATCTGAAGTCCAGACACGTAAAATATTTGTATTTAAGGGAGAAAAATTGTACTAAGGGGAGAAAAAATCTTCCATGCGATAAACCTATACAGGTATAGTTGGTACACCTTGTAACTCGTGTAAAAGTGCTAAAGGTAATTTAAATGTACATGTATGTGGGTGCTGCCAACGTGATAGATCGTATCGGCGAATGGCTGTTTATTTGAATATTAATTTGTTTACACCTGAAGAGACATCGTTCATGACCTTGATCACGTACCTGTCGAATCTTTGTGTTACATATTCTTACAGGTGTACTTGTAAAACATTTGCGGGGCTATTATTTCGCTGTTGTTCGGATCATAACTATAGTTTGCAAATATAAATTAAAATATAACGCTGACGAAAGTTATTTTGCATTTCGTTGATGGGATTTACTTTGCAAGTGTGTTATACAAATAAAATGAAATGCGATGTTGAATTGTTGTTGGGTCTTCTTTACTCGGCAGTAAACGGATAAACAAATACATTTTTCCCTCTGCGTCTTTAGATATATATCCACAGATATTAGAATTAATGGTATCACCATTCGATTGGTTTTTAGTTTCGCTATCGTTGATGACCGTGAATACAGCGAAAACAAATCCACCGCGAATATTACCAATAACAGTATCTTCAAATTTCAACGGTCACCTCTAAATATACATTTACGGTATATCAGGAAACTTTCGTCCCGTAATAAATCCCCCTTGTCTATAAAATCCTATAAAAATATAAATAAATAGCCAGCAGATTTGTGATATCGATAGCAGCACTTTAAGATTGCATTTAGGACCCCCGTACCACTACCTCGGACTACACCATCTGAGTGTAAACATTCAGCGGGCTAGACCATCTGAGTGTAAAAATTCAGCGGGCTACACCATCTGAGTGTAAAAATTCAGCGGGCTGAACCATCTGAGTGTAAAAATTCAGCGGTCTACACCATCTAAGTGTAAAAATTCAGCAGACTAGACAATCTGAGTGTAAAAATTTCAGCGGGCTACACCATCTGAGTGTAAAAAAATTCAGCGGGCTAAACCATCTGAGTGTAAAAATTCAGCGGGCTACACCATCTGAGTGTAAAAAATTCAGCGGGCTAAACCATCTGAGTGTAAAAAAAAATCAGCGGGTTACACCATCTGAGTGTAAAAATTCAGCGGGCTACACCATCTGAGTGTAAAAAAATTCAGCGGGCTAAACCATCTGAGTGTAAAAAAATCAGCGGGTTACACCATATGAGTGTAAAAATTCAGCGGGCTACACCATCTGAGTGTAAAAAAAAATCAGCGGGCTACACCATCTGAATGTAAAAATTCAGCGGGCTACACCATCTCAATGTAAAAATTCAGCGGGCTACACCATCCGAGTGAATAAATCCAGCAGGTTACACTATCTGAATGTAAAAATCCAGCGGGCTCGTCCATCTGTGTGTATAAATTCAGCGGGCTACACCATCTGAGTGTAAAAATTCAGCGGCCTACACCATCTGAATGTTAAATTTTAGCGGGCAACACCATTTGAGTGTAAAACCTCAGCGGGCTAGACCATCTGAGTGTAAAAATTCAGCGGGCTACACCATTTGAGTGTATAAAGTCAGCGGGCTAGAGAATCGGAGTGTCAAAATCCAGCGGGCTACACCATCTGAGTGTAAAAATTCAGCGGGCTACACCATCTGAGTGTATAAATTCAGCGGGCTTCACCATTTGAGTGTATCAATTCAGCGGGCTTCACCATCTGAGTGTATAAATTCAGCGGGCTTCACCATCTGAGTGTTAAAATCCAGCGGGCTACACCATCTGAGTGTAAAAACTCCTCGGGCTACACCATCGGAGTGTAAAAATTCAGCGGGCTACACCAGGGTTCGAACTATCACTCTAACCGACTCAGATATCTGGTCAAACTTAGCTTTGATAGTGTTACATCAGAGACGTAAATATATATATTACGTTTGTAATGTATACCTCTCTGGTTACATCTAAAACGAAACTAAGGGGAGGTTACTTCATACGGAAAACTACAATGCTGTGGGACAGGGATCCTGAAATTGATATATAACCTGTATAAAAGTTGGCATTTTATTTATGAACTAGATCTTGAAGCACATGAGTTTGTGTCCTAAAATTCCGGCCTAATATGAGATACGAAACGATAAACAATGTGTTTCAGCATATTTACATCCGTATTTTGGAAGAAACCTCCCGTTTTTAATGTACATGTAGCAGAATTGCAAAATATGTAGCCGTTCTAAAGTGAAAGTGACCTGTTAATTAAATAGAATATCCCTTGTTTCTTGATTAAGAACAGCTTGATTTCACGAGTTGGGTGAACTGCTAGTTTTACTACAATCATAGTTCACAGCAGGGGTGAAATATTTATCAATCAGTGAGTTATTTTCATCAAGAAACAAAGCATATCTTGTCTGCTATGTTTTGCTATATAAAGACAGTGGCTACCGTTAAATCATTGTTTTTCGTACTGTGACGTCATCAGGATGTCGTTGACATCACAGTCGGTAAAGACGCATGCTTGTTTTGTACAGATAAATCTGCTCTTTGAATGTGAAAATAGCATAAAAGTGGCATTTTTGTACGAAAAAACGCATCAATTATTTTCAACATAAAACCTTATATTTCCTTGTTAAAATGAAACGATATATATATATATCTAGAACGTTTCGTTAAGATATACATCTGCAGTGGTTTCCAGAAAGTAAACAATATCAGACGGTGTACATATTAACCGAAAGGAAAAGGAATTCGTTTCACTTTCTTATCAAGGTCGTTTCTGTACATATGTCAGCGATATCAAATGTTCTGACTCTTTTCATGTGTCACCTACTTAACCTTTTAATTGGAACACCACAACCGTATCCAGCCAAATCAAACCCCCATGTACATTTCAGATTGACAAACACAGTCCAGTAAGCGTGGTGATAACTGTTATCAGAAATTCACATTTGTAAATACGCCAGAAGCGTTCATACAGCTCGTTATATTTACTTTTAGATAAAACATATAAATGTATATAGAGTTCGTCAACCAGCACAACACGTTTTCGACAGCACTCCATAAAAATCCGCGAAGCGGTTTGTGTAAACATTTTACGAATTGAGGAATTAAAATAAAATAAAATTGCTTATCTGTTATTAATAGATTTGAAAGAATAATTATTGCTTATTTACCTCACCCCCTTTTGGATATAACTTAAGCACACTTCTTTTTTATAATCTCAGCACTCCTTTATTAAATACTTTTTGTTAATTTCATCATCTATACAATGTTTTCCATAAACTTTCAGTATGGTATAATTTTCCTTTTATAAATTATGTATCGAAGCTATATTCATGCTGAAAAAGATTTTTTGAGTTTCGAGTGTTCTTGTGTATAATGTCATCAGTTTTATTGTTACAATGTTTATCTGGGTTTATTAACATAAACTAAAAATAGACACAGTAGTTTAAACAGTATTTTATTCAATATATGGCAGTGACAAAATAATACAAAATCAACAAAGAGGATTCGAAAACAAGTACATAAGTACTTATATCAATTCGGCTCCTTATTAATAAACCTGGCAGTAGGACGGCACTGTTACATATATTTTGATAGTATAAAAGACAAAGAGAAATTACTCTTTACATGATTTCTAATTTAGAGATATCACAATAAATCGTATATCAAAAGGGATCACTTGATAAATTACATGGCCGAAGCCTTTTATTTATCTATTTAATTACATGCATTGTTAAATTTTCCTTTCATG